GTCATGAGACTCAGTCAGCAGAATCCTCTGCAGTGAGCTCTGAATGACTCACTTACCTGAAGCTGTATCACCCCTACATCCCGTATATACACATGTTTCCGTGTACAACACTGTGAAGTTCATAACCAGCACAGGAGAACACTAAGGAGCACATCAGCCAGCAGTGCTTGGAATCGCGCTACACAAACCGCAAAACGCAGAGCCCGCTCGGCCCTTTTGTTGGGGAACAAAAGTGACGCTTGCTCTCCTTGAATCTCCTTGCTCTGGGTCTCAGAGATGGGTACAGAAAAGAGGCTTTTGCTAGGCAGGGTCATGGTGAGAAACTTGTACCAAACCACTCCTGTGTACTGCCATTCCATGTATCCATTACACTTGCTTTTGTATCTCACTAGACTGGGTGTTTGCTCAGGTGGCCAGCATCAGCCTTCCCGCTGGAGATGCCTTCCCAGCGTAATTTCTTCTCCAGGGCCCAGAGATCACATGTTTCTGTCATCACAGAGAACTTCTGCTGGGGGATCTGTAATAACTCTGCTTGCAGTTGAGCTGAAATAAAACACGCCTCAAGCGAACAATAGCCAAATAACAAGAAATATATTTTTTCTTCTTGTAAAGAGCGTGTACTGCACACAGGGCTAATCTGCATGGCTTCAGTACACTCAGCACCTGTGTTTTTGTTTTCTTTGCAGTGGGAACAGTGGCTTGGCCTGCACTGCTTGTCCCTGCCTGCCTTGCAGAGAACTGCCCAAAGGTTTTATTCATTTTTAATCTGATTTCTTTTCTGTATGTAGGGAATTGGAGTTAATAGAGGATTTTCCCCTACAACCTCTATTGATGATGGCCAAAAGGAGAACATCTAATGACCTTGGAGATCTTCTTGTTCTTTACATGAGATAGGGGTCAGGTATTAAGGTGGTGCTGCCATCCCCCATTTCCTTCTTTCAGCTTTGTAGATGCAGCTAGATTGGCAAGGCTGCTGCTGGAATCATGAACTTAGAGTTCGCAAAGAGCTGCTGTGTTTTCTGAGCTGAAACCTTACTGTACAGCTACCAGATTCAAAAGTGGGGCTTAACTATCACCATTGCTTGGGTTCCTCAGACAGCCGGCCTTCCACAAAACCCCTTTTGGTCAGAGAGTGCAAAGCTGCTGATGCCTCTCCATAAAATCACTCTGAGCTCACCAGAATTTCATTTCATGTAATACAAAAAGTTTCTAACTACATCAAAGAATCCTGTTGTGACAGCTAAAGAACAAAGAACTTCAGATTTTGGTGTAAAATGACTTTTCTTTTCAAAAGATTGTATTTTGTACTAAATAATAACTCTTCCTGTGATTCTGCTTGTGGCTTAGGATGGAGCTGTTCACCACCAATCTTGTGCTACTTTTCAGCTTCGCTCTATTATCCAAAATAACAACAACAGTTCCGAACGTTGTTGAAAGACCAAAGATCCAGACTCCACATAAAAAGAACAAAGCTATGATTTTTGGCAGGGGAGGTAAAGAAATATAAAAGAATCCAAAACATATACAAGCTAATAAAATCTGTAGACCATAACTCATGTATGCAGTTTAGACATGCTTGAAAAAAAACCCACACAAAACCCCCCTGCTGGTATAAAATTTAGAGTTCTGGGGTTCCTTGGCAAGGATGCACTTTCCCATCAATGCCTAAAATCAGTTATCTTATGGCAGTGAGCAAACTCTGTACCTGCAGTAAACGTCATGATCAGTGATGATACCAGAGTCTCTTTTCAGAACAGAGCAGAGAAATGCCCATTCACCTGATGTTTATAGCCGGCAATAATTTCAGGCTGGACAGTTTGCATTTGTTTCTACTAAAAAGTCACAGAGCATAAGAACATACACAGGAAGCTTTCATGTGGTTATCAGTCCTTGGAAAGCTTCTCTCTTGATTACCATGTGTTTTGCATGTCCACTTCACAGTGTGCCTACCCAGGGCTGAACAGTGACAAGATGTTGGGAAAAACCACTGTGACATTTTAGGGAAATTGAGTGTAACAACACTTAGTTGCTTTTAGGCACCGTCCCATTTGTCTAAGAAAATTAACCTTTTATTTAAAACACAAACCAGACTACAGATGTGTTTGGGGACAGATTTGCACTTACAGCAGAGGCTAGAGTTTCTTCCAGTTAGGATTGGCAAAGGACTGTAACGTGTAACTCGGGAGCTTTCAGTTATGATCATGCTCTGGGGTCCTAGGTTTTGAATGTCAGAAGAGGCAGAACACTGGGAGGTTAACTCATAGGCAAGGACGGGTGGAAAGGAATCAAATGAGTTTACTAGGCAGCCAGTAATTCTCCGAGTTACTCTGCGAGTACCATTCACACATTGCAGATATCACAGTTTACTTTTTCTTGCAAATGAGGTTTATTGCACAAGTCAGAAATGGCATGAAATTACAATTCCATAGGAGGCCAGCACCAACTGCAAAAGATGAGGCTTCCTACATCTTTACAGCCTTTCAGTTACCTGTCTTTAGAGATATACAGTGCATTGGTGCACTCACTGACCTGAACACACATAAAGCCAACTTAGATCCAAATATCCTTCAGTCTTCCTGCAGATGTAGACATAGACTTCCTGCTGTTCTTTTGAATCAAGAACGTTGATTAACAAGATGAAAACAAGGGAAGCTGAATTTGTGGAAGCAACTTCTGAAGTTGAAAATTGACTTCTATTAAGTTCTACTTCATGTTATTTATTTATTTATCACAATTCTGAAATAATGTTCACACTCCAGGGACCACTTTCCAACTTCCGTTTTTTTTTTTTTTTTTTAATTACTTTAAAATCTGATTAGATTGAGAAAGAAAACATAACAATTTGTTTGTTAAAAGGAATGAAAAATATAATTCATACCTTTTTCACCAATTGTCCCTTCTACCAGCCTTCACAATGAGGATTTCTCCCTCTCCAGTGCTCAAGACAGGCAAAATCTAATGTATTCAAAATGGCTCAGGAGTTCTGATTTTTTTCTTGAAAAAAATATATCCCAAATGCTAAACTGTCCAATAAATGCAATTTTGCTTTAGTGCTACAAAAATATTTGTAAGTCGATATCTAGCCCTTCCCTTGAGCTGCCTCAAGAGACAGGGGCAGTAAAGCTAAGCTGGGTCAATGACAGACGCCTGGTTTTCAGGTGAAATGTAAGGAATGATGGAAGTCTGCAGGAATGATGTACTGCTAAATGAGGGAAACACCTAGAAGCACATCAAGGTCAGGAGAAGCCTGCCCTAAGAGTGCAACATCTTCCCTCTGGAGACGTACGCTTCCAACGCACAGCCCTCTGCAAAATCAAAGAGTTACCGCAGACTTGGGCTCTTGCTCCTTCCGTAAATAGCCCTGGGAAGAGACATCATTTGTCTTTGTCTGTTCGTTCTCCGAGCAGGCTTTTAGCTTGGTATTTCCATCTGCTGTGATGTGAAGGGCTCCCGTGGGTGCTGGGCTTCCCTCTGCCCGCAGCAGGCAGCGAAGCTCCGTCTGCACTAGGGGGCTCTGCTGACCCGGCTATGGAGGCGGAGGCAGCAGCTCGGTGGAGGAGAGGAGGCCGAAAACCTTCCCGAATCATTGAACCCTTCTGGTTGAGCAGCCTTGTCATGCTCTGGGTGCTTCCTTCACAACCTGGCTGCAGTTCAGGGACGAGTAAACGAACCTCCAGTTTGCTGCAAAAATTTCAGGGTGCTATGGGATGAAGTGCTCCATATAAAAAGCAAAATGTTACAGTAAAAGATTTTACTGTATTTTGGAAATGGCAAAACTTCATAACATTGAAAGTTTTATGGGAAAGAAAACAAGGCTTCTAAGTCTCTCCCAAATTATTGCAGCTTTGAAGTAACAACTTTCACTTTGTAATTGTTGGAACACTCCCTCTCCTTGCACTAAAGGGATCTTTAATGCGCCAACTGCTAAGACCGAGGCTCTCAGCCTTTTCTAAAGGGAACGTGCTTGTGATGAGGCTGGCAGATAAACCCCACCCTATGGTAAGCCTAGCAGCACTGCTACCATCTTTTTCCTTGTCTGAGTTGCCTTGCTTGTCCTTTTCACAGTTTCACAGTACCAAGGCCAGAAAAGATCATTAGAATCATCCAGTCCCTTGAAGAATAAGGTCCAGGGAATTTTATCCAGCAAATTTCCACCTACCAGCCTACCTCCACATCCTTTTTATTTTCTCTGTAATTATCGCTTTTGTTTCCTATTAGTTCTTTCTGCTGCTTAGCTTTGTGCCATTTTCCAGTTCTCCAGGAAGCAGACAGCTACACTGGTGGCTACACCAGCTGGGTGATGTAAGTACAGGCAACTTCCCCGAGTACCCTGGGAATGGAAGAGAGTCCCTTGGGCCATTGCGTTGCTGCCTGAACTTCTGGCAAGTTGCTACTAGAACAGCAGTCAGGAATGGATGAAAAGTGGCCTTCAAGGAACCACTAATGACATCAAAATGCTGCAGATTTCTTTACATTTGCCAGTCTATTTGATATAACTTCTCCCTGCTACCCTGCAAATGGCTTTGTCCATGTTACCTGTGGTGTTAGCTGCTCAACAGAGGTCCAGGCCTACCTAAAAAAGAGTCTCCCAGGAAGAATTTAAAACATCCTGTTGCTGGGGAACTATGGGACAGTAGTTTCTGTACTCCGGGAAAGAATGTGGCACTTCTGTCCCAGCCACCCTGCTGCCTTAGGGAGCAGTGGGAAAAGTTGGGCCCAAACCTCCTGTCTTCCCATTAGGTGCTTTTGCAATTCACATACCTCATGGACTTCACAAAGGACAAACAAGGGGCCCAGGATACATGGACTCTACAGACAGTATGGGGGTCTTCCTTCCACTTCCCTAAAGGAGCGGGGCACAAACCAACTCTAAACCAGTACAAAAATCCCCCTTCCTACCACTGGACACAAGGTGAGTATCTTTCAACTGTTTATTTTTCTTCCAGATGACTTTAAAACAGCTAAACAAATCATTGGGAGAAAAGCCACACAGATGGACCTTAGGTCCCTCTTTTGATGATATGGTCATAGATAACAACATGGAGATAGAGATCTGTTTCAATAGGCGTTCGTGTTGTGTTGTCTCCTGGGTAGGCCTGAAACAAAGAATATTATGGATACCCAGTCAGAAGAGAGAAAAAACATTGTTTTTAATATAATTCCTTTTCTTCTTCTTCCCTTGGAACATAAAGTTTGATAAATACAACTAGCTCTGAGGGTAGGGATTTCTCAGTGAAGATTAATGTCCTGGCATTGGGCAGTTCGTTTCTGCAATGCTTTTAGCAGATGCAAAGACAGTGATAGAGTTCTTTTAGCTAAATACAACTAGGAACAAGTGGACCATCGACTGGTCAAAGAGAAGGCCCACTTGCAAAGATCAGGTAGCTGACACTAAGTCTGTTCAAGCTGAACCCCATGAGAGACAACTCATGCTGATTCTAGTTTGGCCCATAGCAAGCACTTCTCAAAAGCTTGCTCTCCATCAGTGAGTGCTACAGAAAATCAAAGCCAGGTGGATCTCATGGGGACTCACAGGCCTGTGCCCTGCGAACCTGTGAGTGTACACAACGTACACACACAAATGCTTCTTAGCGTGGCTCTTGGCATGTGAGGATCTTTCATGTAGACGCTAAAGAACTGGTTATCTGTTACAGATGTTCTGCAGCTGCAGGAAGTTGGATCGGTGGCCCACTTTCAATGCAACCAAACACATTTTTAGGTACACATTTTTGAATTTCTAACAAACCAACGCACTTATTTTGAAATGCATATAATTTGATATTTTGTACTGTTACTATTCATACGCGACCATCTTTCATGGGAAACACATCAAAGAAACCATCATCCTAGATCAGTTCTGTAGAAACCCAAACAAATTATTGCCCAGCTTAGTTCATGTTGGTTTTCAGAGTAACCAAAGCCTGGGTGTGTTTGTCACATCCAATCTAGATTCCAAGGACTTCAGTTGTAAAGTTTAAAAAAGTGCAGTTGGCACAAGAGGAACACAGTCAGTTTCTTACAGAGGAAAGCTGTCTATGATGTTATTTCCCATTCCGCTCCCAACATGAAAGATAAAATACCCACAGCAATTTAATCAGCTTTCAACTATGGCTGAAAATGGGAAGTCTGGGTATGACTCCAGCATTTGCTTTGTTTGGATTCAACTGCTGTGTAAATAAATGGTAGAGATCAAGCAACTTCAGCAATAATAGGATCAGAGCCATTTTCAGGTGAAAGCAAAGCATGCATTTGTGCTGTCAATCGTATATAAAAGACACAGAGTCCACAATGTTCATCCAGTTTATAGCACAAGTATTTTCCTTTCTTTTATTCATTTGTAAATCCTTCTGAACCATTTACTACATGCTGGAGAAACACAGCTCTCCACAAGAAGACACATCTAGTGTCAAATTTCTGTTTTGTGAGGGACAGGGTTTAAAATCCAAGTTTGACCCTTATGCCAGTGACAATCTCAATCTGCTGTGATAACTAAATGACCTTAATGGGGCTGCTTTCCTTAGGACTTCTCAAATTCTTTGTTTTAAGGAGGAAGAATAAGGACTGTATGCAGTTGGGAGAGGAAATCTGCCAGTTTCAGTTCACCAGTGTAAAAATGCTGGGGCAGAAGATGGCCCATGCTTCAGATACAGGAACTGATTCTTCTATCTGAATTTGCTCATGTTCAGCAGGCCCTGCCAGGATTTGGGATATTACTATTCCTGCAAGTTGCAGCTTTTGTTTCAAAGTAGCCTAATACTTATTTGTTTTTATCCACTATTTCTTTATTTTAGCCACCTGTGGGCATGTGTCATAAAAGAGATTTGATTTTTAAGAGGAGATGAATACAGAGACCACCAGCCCCAGGATGTCTCACCAACATTTTAGCAATTTTTCCTTTTAGGTAGAGGCACGTGTGTCATCCTCTGAGTAAAGCACAGTGTCTTTCCACACCAGATGTACCTGCTTATACACTCCCCATGCTTTGGTCCTCACATCGTCCAGTGAGGTCCTCACATCAGTCCCACTTTCCTCCTCAGCCTGTTCCCTCTCCTGTGCTTTCCTTTCCTTAGCGCTTCTCAGCAACGCAATTAACAGGACACAGGCTCAGCCTGCAGCCTGTCCTGGCAGTAATGGCACAGTGTCTCATTCTGGTTGGAAGGAAAAAGGGCAGAGAAAGGGGCAGGGAGTAAGAGAAACTCTGCTTCGGAAATCTTTTAAGTTTTATCAGTCAGTTCAATTTCTGATTTCTGTCATCACAAGGGAAAGGTCTAGACACACTCAGGTATAAACAAGGTAGGCTAAGTTTATCCTGACAGGGACAGAGCAGCTATGTTAACAAGGGGAATGGCAAGTCTGAGTAAGCCTGAAATATTAGGTGTGTATTGATAAAGATACTAGGTGCAATCGGACTCAACAGTGTAGCAATCAAATTCCATTGCATAAAGGCAGTTTAGAATATTGGGGGGGGGGAGGGGCGGACATTTACCTTGGGATCCACATTTATTATTTTCCCATCAATTTTGCTCTTGAAGAGTAGTCCACAGGCATTTTCTGCAATCACTTGGTAATTTGGGCTGGAATTTGAAGTGCTGACATTTCTATCCCAGTTGTAAAAGCTGTGAAAATGTGAAACAGAAATGCTGTACTTTTAATGGATGTCATTCTTCCAGCTTAAAGGGCAGATTCTGACCTCCTTATTCATGTTGAGTAGTTCCTGATTCCACAACAGCCCCTCTGAAAGCCAGACAGATTCACTGAGGAGCAGAAGTCCACTAAATATTAGAAAACCTGACCAAATGTGGCCCTACATATCTGATCTCTGGCAAACCAAAACTGAGGCCCCTAGCTGTCTCCTCATCCATTCAGTACTAGTATTACTAAAAGACTCAGAGCCCAGGTTATAACTAGCGGGAAGTGGTAGTGCTTGAGAACTACTACTGTGACGGAAACAGCTCTGCAGACCACCTGAAAGTGCTTCCCGGACCACCACAGATCTGCAAACCAGATGTGGGAACTGATGGTTCCCCTTAGGATCTCACTGGAACTCTCTTGCTGCCTTACTGTTTTCCTTTCCCTTGTTTTGAATATAATTCTGGTAGTAAGGAGTTGTTGGAAGTCTCCTGGGCCAGATATAGTGGGATGGGCTGAACTCCAGCTCTCCAAGGAAAATCCCAGCTCCCCAGGGAGCTGTGGGTGTCAGCCTGGGATTAATTCTGGAGCAAACCCTCAATAAAGCTGACTGTTCTTCTAGTTTCCAAAATGTGCGCCGCTAACGAAAAGTCGAAAGGAATCAGCCTGCTATGTCAAATACAAACGGACACAGGAGGGTTTCAGCCGTTTATCAGGGCAGAGGTGCTGGAATTCCCCAAGCCTTCTCACCCATTTGTTTTTTGACTTCTCAAAGTTTTTATCACCTGACCTCAGCCCTTGTAGGCTTTGTACTTGCCACACAGCCAGCTAACAGGCTGTCATTTGCATTCTCATTGTTATCATTTGTTTAGAAACCTTTTCAGCACAGTATGCACTGCTACAGGTACCTTGCTGGGATACTCATTTGATCGCTGAAGTGGCACGTTGCATTTCTGCTGCTGATCAGATGAGTGTATGTTTTGCAAAAGATGGAGGAGATGGAAGCAAGTCAGGAAATCATTCTGTGTGTAAGGAGGATTCAAGAAATTTAGAAAATACCTTTTAATTTTCCTGCCTTCTGCAAGGATGCTTCATTCCAACTAGAAACATGGTTCTGGTTTTTAAAGCACCTCAATTTCTTCCTCACTTTGAAAGAGTGCAAAACAATAGGCCTCACTATTACGTATACTAAACTTTTTTACATCCTGAACACCTCTGTGGGAATGGAGCAATGTAGACTTAGACTTAGAGTTGAATTTACAACACCCTTACAGAATTCATCCTGGCATCACTGAAGTCAGTGGGCAATTTGCCACTGAAGTCGGTAGCCTTGGATTACAGGCAGATAATGTACAATGGCCTCCTCAGCACAAAGTTATGTCCTTGAGCAAGGAGTTAGCACAAGCAGAAGCTGCCCTCTGGAACTCTGTGCAGCTTAACGCTTAGATGCCTGCAGAAAATGAGTGAAAGGTGTGTGTGGGCACAATTCGTTCAGCTTAGTAGTAATAACTGTTTTGCTTTGATATATTAATTGGTCACATTCGTTTGTCATCTATAGATTTATTTAATGATCCTGAGTACCCACGTTATGCAGTAAACAGAAGATTTTTTCATTTGCTGTTTAAATCTAAGAATACGCACTAATTTATATAAAAATTAAATACACAGATTCTTTTTACTCAGTTTCCTTATTTCATCCATACATCTTTTCCCTGTACTCCAGGACACAACTTGGTTAATGAGTTCATCTGCACAAATAGAGATTGTTTCTGCTGGAAAACCACTACCAGATTTGGAAGGAATCACTCTATCTTGGAGGGGGAGGTGGGGGGGGAATATATCTCTCTGCAAGGACTTCTCCATATTCATTGAAAAGAAATTAAAAATCTGAAGGCAGAAATAGTCAATTAGCTGTCAGATAATAACTTCCTGCATTTTGCCAAGTTTCTAACCCCACCACTACCATACTTCCCCATTTAAGCCAGCGAAGACAAGATCAGAGCTCAGACAGCCTTTCTGCTGGGAAATCAATGTCTAGTGCAAACAGTTTTGTTATGGACTCTTTCAGTCCATGACAATTTAGTTCCCATCATGTGCTTAGATGTGAGACATAAACCCCAAGTCCACCTGCAACGTGAAATTAATCTCTCTGAACCCTGTACTGAGAGCTAAGAGAATGGGGCAGTGCCCCGTGCAACTCTCCAGCCGCCTTTCCCACATATAAGCCCCAAGCTTCTTGGCATTCCCATGTTCTCTAAAACAAAGACAGCGAGATGGTGGCTGCTTTGAGAAAGCCTAGATGTTTGGCCATGGAAGGAAATTTCCCCTGCATACCTTTTTTCATGTTCTTCAGTGAAAACTGATGACAACCAGAGATTCAAGTAAGCCTCACACGCACCTTCAGCAAGCAGGATGAGGACTACTGCAGCTAGAGGACAGTGTCACTGGGAGAACAAAATAAAACATGCTAGCATGAAGCACTCATAATATTGCCTAAATAGGCAGGAGGTCAAAGGAACATTTTGACCAGAGGAGGAAAGGGCTGGAGAGGGCTTCTCTAGAGCAGCCTCTCCCCTACCAGTTACTATTAAGGTGAAACTTTCTCACTGTAAGCAATGCATTCTACCATGAGGCTGCTGCAAGAAGAGAGGGCTGGAAATAAGGACCTAGGGAATCCCATCTCATCTGTTTTTCTTTCTGTAGAATAAATACCAAACTAAACTTCAGCAATAAGTGCTATTTAGAAGTTACTATAATCCCAGTCTAATAAAAGTAATTTTTGTTAGCAGAATTCCATTTGGCTTTAAATATTTAAATTATCCTGAGATTAAAACATGCTATTAGATGAATATAATCATATGCCAAAGAAAATATTTCAGTGTACATTTTTTCTATTATTGTTTGATTACCATGTGTTTTGGAACAAATGTAGGAGTTTTTAGCATGGCACTTAAATATGTGGAGTATGAGAGACTTAGCAGTGCCTACAGTCCAGCTGCAAGAAGAATGCATCTTGAGGTTTTTAATCTTTTTGTTGGTTTTTTTTAAAGACAATGACTTGTTGGTGCAGTGGTGTACAACAACTAGCACACTGTGTTTGGGAATACAGACTAAAATATGTGAGCCATGTTTTTTAAGTTTTTTCATCAGCTAATTCTGGTCTGAGCAGATTTTCATTCTGCAGGCAGAGAGATGCCCTCCCAGAACACAGGAGTCTGAATACAGGTTTTTGTATCCTTAAAGTTATCCTTCGGGTACCAAGATGGCAGCACATCAAACCGTACGGTGCTTATAGAATGTCTTTCATCCAAAAATCTCTGGGTCCTTTTGTAAACATGCATTAAACCACTTGACATTCTTGTGAGATGTAAGGCAGGCTTTATTACAGCTCATCAGTGGCTGGGGGAGCCAGGGCGCAAGAAAAGTTGGAGATTTTTCCGTAGGATACATGGGCTGATAGCAGAGCAGCAATGAGTCCCAATTGCTGGCTCCAGACAGGAGATGGGGTGCTTTGGTTGGAGCCCTGTGGCTATTCACATTTGAGAAGTTGGACAACTGTTTTCCTAGAGACAAATCCTTGGCAAATTTAGAAATGGGATTTTGATGTCTCGGTGTGCAATTGTCCCTCTTTTTCCCTTATTCCACAGTAGGAAACGAACTGTGATGAAAGAACTTCTTACACAGCCTATTCCAGGGCTGAAATGCCACCGTGCATCAGGCCTGGGCAGACAGGAGAGTGCTTCAGACACTGAACAAACCGAGGGTTGCCAATCACCATCTGACCAAAAGAAAAGAAGGTGTGCATCTGCAGGGTAAGAGCTTTGTTTTCCCAACTTACTATTTACTATTTAAATCAACAAAATCAAGGAGACAGAACACAGTGTGAAGGTATTTATGTCTGTGTTGGCCCCACCTTTGATCCCATGGGGTTAGATTATACTACCCTATTCTTTCTTCCCCTCAGGATAAGGATTGGTTCCTTGATTCAGTTCTCTACTTTTCTCTCCCCACCCACACAAACACAAAGATAAAACCATTCCCTATAGCAGACTGGGACTTCAGTCAAAAACTAATTATAAACAATGATGGCTCAACAGCTTTTTTCAGTTTGTGGTTCTATGAATTTGCGATGCAAACTATCTGGCTTCAGACCCCCTCCTGGTAATTTACAGACCAGCTGGCTTTAGTTGGGCAGCAGCAGAAGGGTGCAGACAAGGGAGACCAGGATGCAGGACAACAAAGCAGACTAGAACTGGGAATAAAAAGCAGCAGCAGCAGCTCCTTTATCATGGTGTTCTCTTTCTTTCTGCCCTCCGGTAGGAGTGCACTGGTAATCATTCTAATGGGGGGAAACTGGCATTCTGCGTCTGCTTGCCAAATATGACAAAGTAGCAACACACTCGGATGGGATTTGGCCTGTCAGTCCTTCTACAGCTTTCTGGTGCAAATGAGGTCAATGCCTCGGTGGGACATGACGATGTAATACAGCACATATGCCTGACTTCAGGCCAACCACTGTTTCATAATAAGATGCGTGTCACAGACCTCTGGTTAAACAAGAACAAGCTACTTTTTCCACCTAAGAAATGTAAAGATGCTGACTTTTGCTTTTCTTTTTCATATTGAAGCAGCTTTGATGGAAATCAGCTGATTGCCAGGGTAGGGCGAGATATGCTACAGTCCTTTGGAAAACCAAGGCTGTTTCATTTGACCACAGTTACTCTGCACAGTAGCTATTTTGGTGCTTTTTTCCTGCTTACCTGGCCTATGTTGTCACCACTGGATTAAAACCCTGTAACATTTAGCTAAACTCATATGTCTGATTATCTTCCAAACTGGTCGCAAATCAGGAGTAACTCCAATTAACTCTTGTATAAAATTGGTAGAAATGAGCATCTGGCCCTCAGGAACAACTCACACCCTGGTTTCCTAGAGGCAGTGGAAGAGCACAGTGCTGCCAGCTGCACATGCAGTTACAGAGCAGGAG